CATAACCACTGAACCAAATAATGCCTTGCCCACAACATAATTTTCCTGCCTCCATGCAATTGTATTCCTTCAGAAAATTTGTTAGGTTTAAATTCGATTATGCCAATTCACAATTGAGGCTTACTACCACCCTATTTTCAATGTCCTATATCTTGGTTGGCTTTCAACTTCTAAGTTTTGTCCCATATATTGCTAAACTTTATAGTCTTAAAGATATAGTTTTTTTAATTAAAAAAAAAAGAAACAAACTTCATTCAATAAAAGAAATTACATACGTATATTTGAATCCTCCTTTAAGAATTTGTTGAAATAAAAAGAGGGTTACAAAAGCAAGTATCAGAGCAACAACCAAGTTTTGAACTCTTAGCAACCTAATCAGCATCACGATTAGCACCTCTAGAGATAAAAGACAAAGAGGCATTAGGGAGAGATTTAAGTTTTTCGGGAAGAAAGAAATATACAGGCATAATTTCTCGAGCCACATGATGAGCACTATTATTAGTAACATTAAAATAAATCACTACTTAATAGAAAGCAAGTGGTATAACCTTCTTCCATTTTTTCACGATCCATAATCTACTGGGATAGCAGATATCTAAACCTTCAAACCTAAAACCTGTGACGAACATTAATATTTTCTCTATCTATAATCCACTGGAATCCATTTTTAACTACTTTAAACCACTTTAAATAGATTTTAATGCTTCAGATATTTTATTAAAACCCACTTGCTGCCATCCCTATCCAAATCCATATAGCGGTACTTGAATAGTAAAAATTCCAATGGTTAGGTTTTCTTATTGTTTTTCATCTATACCCTAAAAAAGTAGGTTGAAGTAAGGGAACATTGAAGAAAGCAAATATTTTGTTGAAGCTTTTATAAACTCAAATTTGACATTTCTTTCTCCTTGATAGAAAGTAGATATTAAACTCTCTTTTAACATTAGATTCACATGCAAATCGCTTATAAATTACCTATGGTTTCTATTTTTAAAGAAATTAAAAGAAAAAAAACTTAAAATTTCTATGAGAGGGGAAAGGATTTGTAAGTTTATACTAAAATGCCAAGCATTTCCTTTCCTTTTCCCTTATATTGACTGTTCCTTACAGCTTATGTTCTAAAATGTAAATATTCTTGTGGAATTTGTTCGCATATGACAAAAAGCACTTATAGTGGGAGAAGAGATTATTTTAGAATTATTGTCCAACTTGGTTTATATAGGCTATAGCATTTTTTTGGTCAGCACTATGCCACTATCACTTGTGAATAAGATTAAAGCTCATATATTTGAAAATGTGCACCACACTTGTCTTCAGCTTTAGTGGCTGCTTTAGATATGTCATTCTCAAAGTCAAAGGCCATCCTTCATTGTTAAGCTCGAATTAAAGATAAGTCATTTGGGCTTTCCTTGAAATTTTCCTTATGAAATTTTCCTTGAAAATTTATAATTTTAGTCAATAATTGTATATATTTTTTATTTTGATGCATAATTTTGTGAGAAAAATAATAGCAATAAAAATTTTTCATTATAGTACTTCTTTAGCGTCAAAAATTGTTTGGGCGAAAAATATTTTGTCACTAATAGCTTTACTGAAGAAAATTTTTAGATAAAAAGATATGAAATCATCATTGGTAAACCTTTACGAACAAATTTTGTCAGTAAATGTGTACTTTTAATCGCTAAAAGTCTCAGTATCCCTATTGAGAGCTGTAGCTTTCAACATAGACAAATGGAGAAGAGAACATCCATGAGAATGATAGACCCCCACTAACCCATTATTAAGTGCCACAGGAAATTTAGCTCATAGCTTACCAATAAACTTCTTAGGGCTTTTAAGAACTTAATTTTGATGATACAATTAACGTAAGCATCTCTTTAGCATTTTTTTAACTTTATAATTAAGGATGTTGAGCATTTAAACATTTGTTTCAATTACAGTTAAATGTATCATTTCTTTTTTTTTTAATCAGGACATTCTTGAAGAAAGGAAAAAAGAAAGAAAATATAGCGAGGTGTTGATGTATGGGCTTCTGTTCTTGCCATCTTGGTTTAAATTAAATGCCCACAGATTTTATCCAAGGTGAAGCCTGGTCCATAGCCCACACAGAACGAGTTTGGATTCTTCAGAACAAGTAATGTTGAGATTTTTTTTAAAAAAATTACAATTGTATAATAATATAATAAAAATTATTTTTTGTACAGTAATATAAGTTTTTGTAATAATCTATTAAAAAAAATCACTTTCTTTTATTTCAATAGTTTTATATTTTGGAAATAAGGAAAATTAGAAATAATTAGAAACAGACTAATCCTATGCTTATTCATTAGGTGAAATATATTAAAAATTTTGATAATTAAAATAAATATTAATAAAACAATAAAAAACATTACATAGTTATCTTGAAAGGCAAGAGAGAAAAAAAATATAAAAAACTACACGTATTGATTTTCAAAACCTAAAAAACTAGGTAAAATTAAAGTTTTTAACTTTTTAAGAAAATTTGAATTACTAATATGACCCGAATAATATATGTTTAGATTTAATAATTTTAGCATGACATGATGATAAAATATAAAAAAAATAAAAATGATAGTATTTAAAATTTTGATAAAAATCATATATAAATTTGATAAAAATAAAAATATATTTTGTATTTATCATGTCAACATGAATTGTAACATAATAAATTTTATATTTTAAGTGTGTTGGAGATTAAACAAATATAATACCAATACATGAATTATCAAATTTATATATATTATTTATTTTATAATATAATTTTTATGTATTTTTTTAATTTATTGATATCTTTTGATTCGTGACGCTAATTCAATAAAAGTCAGATTTTAAATTATAATATAGATATTACTAAAAGGAGCAAAATTTATTAAAATAGAAAAATTTTAAAACAAAACATGATTAGCTTAATAGTTAAAGTCCATTACTTGAATTTTAGTTAATATATATAGTTATTTTTAAAAATTGATATCTATTAAACTTGAAATTTAAATATTAATACCTACCATTCCTCTTTATATTTCTAGACTTCTATTTAGAGGAAGTGATTAAGAGTTTAAATCATCTAATCTTTTATAAGAACTAATTTCTGTTTTCAATATTTCGTAAAAACTAATTTGGAATAAATAACTTTGTGTGGTATGCCATCTTGTCGTGATTTAAAGATTTATAATACTGTTAGTTCGCAGAATAAAATAGATGAAAAATGAAATTAATATTTTGTAAGAATAGAAAATAAGAAGAATAGAATATGTACCATAAAATTTGGTCCATTAGAATATAATAGGAAATAAATTAGTATTAATATGTTTGATTAGCTTAAAAAATATGGATAGAATTAGTTTAAAAGATCATTTTATCTTTGTAATTATCAAAATTATTAATTAATTTAATGAATCAAATATTAATTATATTTATTATAATAATTAAAATATTATTAATTAATATTAAGTATTAATAGTAATTTCATAAAGTTAAATATTAATTTAATTATATTAAATATTAATTAAAAATATTTTATATTATTCTTATAATATTCATTATTAATTTAATAATATTATATATTATTGAACAATATTAAATATTAATTTCATGATATTAAATATTGATTTAAAAATATTAAAAATTCATAAATAATATTAAATATTTTAATAATATTTTTTATTAACTATTAATTTAATAATATTTAATATTATTGTAATAATATTTCAATATTAAGTATTAATATTAATTGGAATAATATTTTAATATTAAAATTTAATTTAGCAATATGTAATATATAATATAATTTTAATATTATATATTATTTAAAATTTAATATTATTTCATTAATTTTATAATATGTTGATTCTATTTTAATATCATTTTAATATGAATTATTACATAATTTATTTTAATACTAATATTATTTTAATAATATTTAATATTTTAAATTATTTTAATAATATTTTAATAATATTTAATATTAAATTATTTTAATATATTTAATAATATATTATACTATATTAATTTATAATATTTTCATATTTCATAGCACTTTAATGTATTTTAAAATTTAATATTTTAATTCAACATTATATATTATTTTAATTGTATTTTATTATTTTAGTATTAATTTCATAGTATTTTAATATTATTTAATTAATTATTACTTATAATTTAATTTAATTATATTAATATTAATTAATTATCTAAATAAAATATTATAATTAAATTTGTAAAAAAAATAAAATTAATTAAATATATAAAAAAAATCATCCATAAATATTTTTTTCAATGCCTGATGGATGAGGGATTACAATGCTTAAAAAGGAGTAAAGAATTGTCATTCTTTATTTTTTGAGAAATTAATATTCCATTAAATAGTTATTTTTTACTAAAAGAAATAAACAATAAAATAAAAAAATTAATTACAATTTTCCCCCAAACATGCTGTAAATTTTTGGAAAAAGTACAAAAAACAGCTTTTTTTTCTTCAAAAGATTTAGCAATATTTTCCTTCTAATTTTACCTGTCAGCAGATTTTATTCGGAAACAATTACTTAAAACATAAAAATATGTTTTATCTGAAAACAAACAAAACAACCTTAATTTTCACATAATTGTTGTTCAACTTATATATATATAAAAAAAAAAAAAACATTGCACGACCAAATCTCATATTTATTGGCAAAGGCATAGTAATACACTTTGGGTAATAATTTTCCATTCCTGTCACCTGCCCTGCCTTCTCAGTCTCAGGCTCTCTCTTTTGCCCTTCCTTTTTGTGTTTCTCTCCTTTCTTGCTTTTCTTCATTATTCCATTTTATTTCCCACCCACCAGAGATTGATTCAATGCTGCAATAAAAAGATAAAAAAAAAAAAAGAGATTCCCAATTAAAATTGTTGTCAGAGCCTATCAAGTCTCTTCTTTGTTCCATTGTCCTCCGTTTTTTTTATCTTAAGGTATTGATTTAAGGTATTTGATTTAAGGAATTTATTACATTTCTTTATTTACTTTCGGAATTTAGAGTATTTAAATAATTTATTTATTCATTTCCCTTCTGGGTCTTTAGGTTTGAAGAGTCTGAAATTTAGGTTGGAGATTTTGAGCTTGTTATTTTGTTGTGTCTTGGGATTCTTTGGTTCGTTTGATTTCCGTTTTTTTTTGTTTTTTCCTTTATGCAAATTAAATTCTAAAAGTAGAAATTTTATGAAGTTTCTAATTTCTAAGAAGGGTACTGTTACACTTCTAGCTATGAAATTATGCGTGTGGTTGAATAGTGAACAAGGTTAAAGATGATGGAAATAAAGGGGGAATAGAAAAAAAGAATAACAATCCAGAATGGAATTAAACCTTTGGAGGAACTAAAATTAGAAACATAAAAGGAAGGAGCTAGATTTTATGGAGTTTATATAATCTTGAGTTTATTATAAGTTTGGTTGTTGGCTCTTTGTGGTTGGTTCTCATGTAGGAGGCTCTTTTTATTGGAATGTTTTGGTTCGTTTGTGGCTGCATAACAAGTAGTTTAGTTTTATACAATGAAAGAGAATGTTGCTTTGGTTTTTACCTTTTTGATTAAGACTAGGGCTTGAGTTTGCTGGAAAGATTGGGGATACACATTGAATCAGCCTATAATGTTTTTGACTAAATGCATGTGAATTGGTTTATTAGAGTATGAGATGCTGATACATAACTAAAAAGTTTCCTTGCTATTAGATTTTAAGTATTTCCACAGCTATAAATAAATATATAGATACTAAAAGAGGAAGCAGAAATGGGGAAAGAGTTCATAACTAAATTTTCAGTTACCTTTGACTAGGAGGATTTTGTTTTACTAGTTACATGATCACCAAGGGAGGAAGATTTGGCGGATAAATTTGTACAACGATATGGAGGTTATTTCTGGGGTGTGGTTAACATCCATATATATTTCATTTGAGGAAGGAGAATGATCCATTAACATCACACAGGTCACAGGGTCGCTGGCAATTTACTTGTCTGCAGAATGAATGCATTCATTCTAAGTATGATAGATAATATGGTTGTTAACGTTGTTGGGGGATATGCTACCCTTTTGCATTTGAAATTTAGACTGTTAGAAGTTTGTGTAGGCCTATTGAGGCCCATTTCTAAAATTTAATGTCAGTACTTGCCTAATGTTTATTGTTCTTTTCATGTGGTCATTACTTTCTAAGCTCAGTCAGTCAAATATTCAACTTAAGGTAGCATTTTCTTCTTTGATACATCTTGACTTTTCATGATCCCTAAACCATCTTTTGAAGGGTTATGAATGGTGTCCGATTATCTTCAGCGTGGGGAGGGTTTGATCTCACTTATTTGAATATCTGTCTCATTGTACTCTATATAGAAGTGTAAAACTTACAATAGTTTGCTCATGTACAGTGATAAATTTTGAGGTTTCAACTCTTGGAGGATATAAGGTGTTTTATGTTTCCTGATGATTGGTTTGCTATAATCTGCAAGGCATTTTAGATAACCAGGTTCTTATTTTTCAAAAGGGGAAAGTAAATGGTTTACATTGCTATATTTATTTAGGTATGAAATCCTTTCTTTAGGAGATCAGTCTTTGCTTTTTTCATGTATTTTCCCGAGAACATATCAGTAGTTTCTGTTCTGTGAAAAGTCTCCTCCTGATGCTCATTAATAATATTGCTTTTGAAAAGTAGAACTCCTTATTCTAGCTTCAGGCAGATCTGTAAAGACTTAAACTTGGTTGGATATAGTAGACTTAGTCTGCTGTCCGGCTTGTCTGTATTGTTTGGGATATTGTTTTCTTTCTTATTGCCATCTTTCTTCTTTAATGATTTTCTATAATCGTGTATTGACTGACATGCGTTATACCCATATTTTAGGTACTATTGTTATGAAATCATTCAGCCAAAGGCTTCTATTGTCTTCATTGTGGGTTATCTTTACATTTTTTTATGGTAAACTAAGTTTGAGTGGATGCTAGAGTTGAAAGCATAGTGTATGCCGAGTGGATCTGAATATTCCCCTTAAGATAATGGATTCTGGCATCAGCACTGTTGACACAAATGTAGAGCCACACCTGGATTTGGAATTTGAATCACATGAAGCAGCCTACTCATATTACAAAGAATATGCCAAGTCTGTGGGCTTTGGCACTGCTAAATTAAGCAGTCGTCGGTCCAGGGTGTCCAAGGAATTTATTGATGCTAAATTTACATGCATAAGATATGGAAATAAGCAACAGTCTGATGATGCCATTAATCCTCGGCCTTCTCCCAAAATTGGTTGTAAAGCAAGCATGCATGTGAAGAGAAGGCAGGATGGAAAGTGGTATGTTTATAGTTTCATAAAGGACCATAATCATGAACTTTTGCCTGCCCAAGCACATTTTTTTCGAAGCCACAGAAATGTTGATCCATTTAAGAATGATGTTGGAAGGAGGCGGAAGAATCTTGCTGCAGTTTCTAAACTATTTAGTGCCTACAAAAATGTTGACTTTTTGGAAGGTTATATGAGAAACAAGCATGATAAGGGGCGGCGTTTGGCTTTAGAAGAGGGAGATGCTCAAGTACTTCTTGAACTTTTTATGCATATGCAGGAAGAAAACCCAAAATTTTTCTATGCAGTTGATTTGAATGAAGAGCATCAGTTGAGAAATGTATTTTGGGTTGATGCCAAAGGCATGGAAGATTTCAGTAAGTTCGATGATGTTGTGTCTTTTGACAGTACATATTTCACGAACAAGTATAAAATACCTTTGGTACTCTTTATTGGAGTCAACCATCATATTCAACCCACATTGTTTGGTTGTGCATTAATTGCGGATGAAACAGTTTATACTTTTCTTTGGCTGATGCAAACATGGTTTATAGCAATGGGGGAGCGGGCTCCACGAGTGATGCTCACTGATCAAAACAATGCCATAAAAGCAGCTGTGGCATCTGTGTTTCCTAGTACACGTCATTGTTTCTGTTTATGGCATGTGTTGGAAAAACTTCCTAGGCATCTTGAATATTTGAGCTTGTGGCATGATAGTCTAATGCTAAAACTTGATAAATGTATTTATCGGTCTTGGACTGAAGAGCAATTTGAAAAAAGGTGGTGGAAGATGGTTGACAAATTTCATCTTAGAGAAATGCAGTGGATTCAGTCTTTGTATGAAGATCGCAAACAGTGGGTTCCTGCCTTTATGAGAGATATATCTTTTGCTGGATTATCTACAGCTTTACGCTCAGACAGTTTGAGTTCTTCATTTGACAAATACGTGCATGGAGAAACATCATTGAGGGACTTTATAGAACAGTATAGAGTAATTCTTGAGGACAAGTATGAAGAGGAAGCCAAAGCTGATTTTAATGCATGGCATGAGACTCCTGAGTTGAAGTCTCCATCACCTTTTGAGAAACAAATGTCACTTGTATATACACATGAAGTTTTCAAGAAATTCCAAGTTGAGGTTTTGGGAGCTGCTGCATGTCATCTTAAAAAGGAAAATGAAGATCATGTGTCGATGACATATAGTGTCAAGGACTTTGAAGATAATCAAAATTATATGGTGGGATGTAATGAATCTAAATCAGATATATATTGCTCATGCCGCTCTTTTGAATACAAGGGCTACCTTTGTAGACATGCTATTGTTGTGCTCCAGATGTCTGGTGTGTTCAACATCCCATCAAAATATATTTTGCAACGGTGGACTAATGCTGCCTTGAGCAGGCATCCAATCAGTCAGAAATTGGATGAGGTACAATCTAAGGTCCGTCGTTACAGTGATTTGTGTAGACGTGCCATAATATTAAGTGAAGAAGGTTCGCTTTCTCAAGAGAGCTATAATCTTGCACTATCTGCCATAAAAGAAGCTCTCAAGCAATGTGTAAGTATCAATAATTTGGTTGAGAATGATGTCGGACCTAATACCTCGGTGATTCATACTGATTCTGGTGTTGAAGGACTCAATCAATGTGTAAATGCTCCTGAAGAAAAAGCTCTAGATGCTAGAATGGCAAATACAATCAAGACTTCTCAAAGTGTTGAGGCTGCGTTGGAGAGGCAAATTGATGAGAATAGTGCAACTAGAAAAGGAAAGGTCAGTCAGCAGTTTGTTTATACTGTATGATTTCATATTAGAATATTTTGATTTATAAATGGAAAGGAAAAGAAAAAGTAAATCACCAAACTTTGCTTCTGGAAACAGCAGGTATTTCTTGCGGGAGCTGCCAATGATGGGTCACAAGATGGCTTTCATCAAATGGTTTGTTTTACTTTCATCTGTCTTTCTCTCTCTCTATCTTTTCAGGAGTGATAATGTGGTTTTTTTAATTGTATTTCAATGCTGTGAAATTCTACTATATGTGATGCAGAAAATTCTAAGTTGATTTATTTGACATTTTCTGGAAATTATTTTAATGCACTTAGTAGTTGATTCTCATGATTTTGATGCCTTAGAAGAGTGTGATGTCTGAACCATAGCAAATGCGACAAATTGTGTTTAATTGTGTACCTTACATGCTAATAAGAGATTGGACCAAACTTGAATTGGTTGACATCTGATTCTTAGGGTGAGTTTAATCCTTAAATTTTAGCAAAAAGGAAATGACATTTGTTCTGGTAAACTTTGTATAGATGCATTTGATTCAAGCTGCCCACTGAATGTTTGTTTATAATACTTGTGGTTGCTACTGATGTGTATTGCAGATTGTTTCTTCTTGTATCGATTACTTTTACTAAAACATTTTTTCCATAAGAATTGTTGATTTTGGGTAAGAACTGTTGATATATGTTATGCCATAGATTGAAAAGACCGGGTTTCATAATGCAGAAATTTTGATACAAAGCAGGACTGGGAACATACCAGTCTTGGGTGGAATTTGAACTATAAAAATTACTAGCATTACTCAGGTTGAATTTTACAATTTCTTATATATTTATTGTCAATAGAGATTTTCAGAATTGTTACTCACCCAACTTCATATAGGTTGTTAGTATGTGTTGTTTTCTTTTGATTTTGGAAAGTCAGAGTGCATGGGAGGGCAATGAGTTTTATCTAGGTGCAATATACGATTAAGGGCCCTTAGTTGTAACCATCAAAATCAAAATCAGTATCAGCATCATTGTCATCTATGCTTTACTCAAGTTTTAAGTTTTCCTAATGGGTGTCAATCAATCTGTGTTAACCAGAGAATATAGTGTTATTATTATCCATGTGCAGTTTTGTAACCTTAATCTTTGTATGCTTGTTGCAGGAGCTGTCGGGCATCAGGCCTACACCAGTGCATAATGTGATGCCATCACAAATGCATAATATGGTGCCAACTATGCTTACAAATGTTGCATCAACACATTTTCATAATGTGGCTGCTACACGTTTGCATGACAACCGACTCCATCGGTAACTTATATTTTACCTCCATTTTTGTAAAGAACGTGTAAAGATAAGCTACTTTAGGGTTTTAGGAAGCGCAGTTTATCTTTTTGCAATTGCCTTGACCTCACTACAAGGTATGATATGGCTGACTAAATTCTCTTGTTTCTGCCTCTGATGAGCCTTTTACACATTTATGTTAGCCTGCTAATTTTATTCCTCCCTCTTCATGTCTCTCACATGTTAACATAGTTTGTGATGGACAAGTGTTGTGTTTTGTCGATCTGGATACAGATTTTTGGCAAGACAAGTAATTTATTGTGTGTTGGAGAATTGCCTGCCAGAGAGCTGCATTTTTTTTTTTTTTTATTTTGCATTTGTGTGTCACTGTGCTTACCAGTAATTTTTTTCTGTTTGACATTGATGACTGACATAGATTGTTGCAGTGCGGCAAATGACCCTCAAATATTGTTTTGGGTGTGGTTTCTGGTTTCATCTGGGCATTTTATGGGTAACAGAAGGTTTTAAACTGGATGGACTATTCTAATATATATTCCAAATATACATATTTTGAGTAAAACATAGTAAAGTTTTTATTATTTGATTTGTGTAACTCAGTGAACCAAACTGCACAAATCAATAGATTGATGATATTTGCAGAACCTAGCGGCAAAATCACCAGAATTTAGAGTCAGTTCGTTTGTTTGGTCCTAGTAAATTAGTTGAATCGAGTGGTTTCCAACAGTCAAGAGTGAAGTCAAATCAATCCTCTTTGTTTCAAAGCTTGTACATTATTGCACTGAATCCAGTAGCTGCTTTGTGTTTCATGTGTTGAGTCAAAATCCAGGCTGTTTCATGTTCTCTATCTAAATATTGATGGGGAAATGGCCCACTTGCAGCAATAAAAAAGTAGATATCTCAATTCATGTATTTTTATCATGTAAAACACTACAGTTCATGTATTGTATTGTGTTTAACATGAAAATCGTATGTTATAATTCATATTGATACAAAAAACATGAAATATTTTTTATTTTTGTTAAATTCATATATGGCTTTTGCAAAAAATTTAAATTGTGTTGCTTATGTGTTTTTTTGTATCCTTTTTCTATTATGTCATTATGTCTTTTGCGGTATGTCATTTTGTCGTGTTTTGAAATATTAGGTTTAGAAAAAGGTTAACCAAACAGCCCTATAATTTCCATAGTTTGGATCAGGGGTTGGACAATGAGGTCCATGTACGAGACGTAGATGGTGTAAATTAATTAATATCAATGTATATTTTTGTGAATTGAAGAGTGCAGTGGCTTTGTCATCAGCTGGCAACCTTTATTGGTTCATGAATCCTGCAAAAATTCAGGAGAAAATAGACAAATTTTGAAATAATCAAGCATTTTGTTTTATTAACATATAATATAACACATAAAGTAGCTAATTATAATGTTTTGAAAGTCTACTATTGGTGTATAAAATTATAATCTATAAATTTCTCTCTCTATTGTACGACTATAAATGCAATTGACAACGTTCCAATGCAGGACAGAAGAAAAGAAAAGGAACTTTGTTAATTCGTTATTCAGGTCTTAAACATAGGATATGTTTTGGATTCCTTTCAACGATAATATATATATATATATATATATATATATATATATATAAAAGAAAAAAAAAAAAAAAAACACGAAGTTGGAGACTTTTGGGAAAAGAATTGTGGATGTCATCCAATGTAAGCTTCAATTACCATATTATTTTCATATTTTATGTTAATTGGACTTCTTCGGGTGACTCATCAGGCCCACGGATAAACTCGAGTCTTGGATTAGGTTTTTTTCGTTCGAATTCATTTTGAAAAATTATTTTATTGTTAAATATATTTTTTAAAATTTTGGTTTTAAAATATATTTAAAGATATTAAAATGTTCATATAAAAAATTTTCTTAAGATATAAACCAAAAGTCGACTTTACTCAATCCAACCCCCTTTATGGAAACTATTATTATTTGAAATTAGCTACTGAAAAAGAAGCAACTCTCTCTCTCATTTTATAACTTTATCCTTCGAGTTATGGAGTACAACATCTTCACATTTAAGTTTCAGAATTTAACCCTAAAAGTCTTGAACAGAAAAAAGAAATAAAAAATCCTTGAGACCTCCCATATTTGAAAACAATTAAAAATATGGAAGGAACAATAAGGGGAAAGACACGTAATTAACAAGGTTTAAAGAATGAGAGCTGCCAGCAAAGCAAGGGGCAGAAATGAGGCAATATGGTCTCTCCTTGTTTGAAGGGCATGTGTTGCGCATTGCACATGCTAGGTGTCATGAGTCACCTTTGTATAGGGCCATGATCGGGACTTAGGTTGCCATGAGTCACCCATGTATAAGGTCATGGTCGGGTAGATCACTTGTACTAGGAAAAGTGTCCTCATTTCAAATATTGTAACGGTTACTGGTAGCATAGCTCTAAAAGTTTTAAGGCTCTTTAGGGGGGTGAGCCGGTAGCGTAGTGTTGGGCTGTCTCACCGGGTGCTATGCGAGCTTAGGCCACCCACCAAGGGCTGCCTCCCTGGCCCTGGTGATGGTGGGAGGTCCCGATGTATGATTCCCGTTTATAATATAATTTGTCTCGATTGAATGCCCGATTGTTGCCTCGATGTGTTTCTTTCTTTCTTGATGTGAATGTGCCTTGTTGTGTGTATGCTTGAGATTGACCTCGCTATATTGTGCCTTATTGTGAATGCTTGAGACTAACCATGGTTTATGGTTATTTGTTCAGATCTCGATCTATTGAAGGTTGACTTGGGTGGAAGCGTCCATTCAAGTGCCACACGGGCTAGTGCTTGTTGAGAAAAAGCTTAGTCCGTGACACGTGGTATCAAAGCACGGTTGAGAAGTGTTAGAGAAATGGATGAGATGGCCACAAGTGGTGGACCGGATCATCAGCAGAGAATTGAGGAACTAGAGGCCGCGGTGGCCGTTATGAAAACTCATATGGTGACAAAAGACCGAGTGAGGGAGATCGAGACAACCCAACGGGAGTTGTCCGATACTCTTCACAATGTGAGCGAAGAGGCTAGAGATGCCTTGATCATTCTCCAAAAGGAGTTTGAGGAGCTCAGGGCCCAGGTGAGCATCCTACAATTGGCTGTGGCCAGATCGGGTTCGAGCTCGATGGACAGGGGACAAAGACCCAAGGTGCCGGAGCCTCGATGCTTTAAGGGGGCAAGGGATGCTAAGGAACTTGAAAATTTCTTGTTCGACATGGAACAATACTTCCAAGCTATACACACCGGTTCAGAGGAAGACAAGGTGACAATGGCATCGATGTACCTCGCAGGGGATGCCAAGTTGTGGTGGCGCTCCAAGTTTGTCGATGACGAGTGCCTGATTAAGACTTGGACGGATCTGAAGCGAGAGCTGAAAAATCAATTTTTTCCGGAGAATGTAGAGTATATGGCTCGAAAGAGACTTCGAGAGTTGGTGCAAATCGGAACGGTGCGAGAGTTCGTAAGAAACTTTTCTACCTTGATGCTAGATATTCGGGACATATCCGAAAAGGATAAGATGTTCTATTTTCTTGAGGGCCTCAAGCCGTGGGCGAGGACAGAGCTACAAAGGCAGAAAGTGCAAGATGTGGCCACGGCCATGGCTGTAGCGAAACGCCTTCATGATTATAATGATGGCTCCTTAAAACGAAAAAATCCTCCATCAACGGGTAGTAGCTTTAACCTTGGGAGTGGAGGAAAGATCACTAGGTTGGACCGACCCTTCAGTGGGGGATCAGACAGGAGGTCCTTTGGGCGAGATAGCACCCAACCCAAGACAAACAACACGGGGATTTTCAGGCCCAGACAACCACTAGTTTGCTTTCTTTGCAAGGAACCACATCGAGTGGCTGAATGCCCGCACCGAGAAGCCCTGAGTGCCTTAAGGACCTCATCCCAAGAGTCCACGAAAGAGCCAGAGAGCGTTGAAGAAGCTGAAGAGGAGCCAGCCAAGATGGGCTCAATAAGGTTCCTCAGTGCCCTCCGCACCCAATTGAACACTATAAAGAAAGAGCAAAGTAGAGGCTTGATGTACGTGAACTTGACGATCAATGGGAAAGCCACCAAAGCCATGGTGGACACGGGTACGACCGACACTTTCATCACACCAGAAGAAGCAAAGAGGTGTGGTCTTCAGATTAATAAGGACTGTGGGCGAATGAAGGCGATCAATTCGCCAGCCTTTGCAATCAGTGGAAGCTCAAAAAGTGTGACAACCCGATTGGGGCCATGAGAAGGGAAAGTAGACTTCACAGTCTCCCTTATGGATGACTTTGATGTAGTTCTCGGATTAGACTTCATGACGTTGGCTCAGGCGATCCCTATCCCCGCGACTAGCTGCTTGTTGTTCTTAGGAGAGCACCCATGTGTGGTGCCAGCCAATATCTTGCCAAAGAGTGGGAAGAAAATGATTTCGGCTTTGCTATTCAAGAAAGGAGTAAAGAGAGGGGAACCCTCGTTTGTGGCCATGCCGATCTACAAAGAAGGGTCGGAACTAGAACCAATACCCGAAGGCGTAAAGAAAGTGTTAGAAGAATTCGGAGAGGTGATGCCAAAGATGCTGCCTAAGGTTCTACCCCCTCGACGAGCAGTGGACCACGAAATCGCATGGCCCCGCCAGAGTTGGTCGAGCTGAGAAAACAGTTAGATGAGCTTCTACAAGCCGGATTCATCCGACCATCAAAGGCTCCTTTCGGAGCGCCAGTGTTATTCCAGAAGAAGCATGATGGGAGTTTGCGCTTATGTGTTGACTACAAGGTCCTGAACAAAGTCACCGTAAGAAACAAATATCCTATCCCGCTTATAGCCGACTTATTTGATCAATTGAGCCGGGCTAAGTACTTCTCCAAACTGGACCTGAGATCTGGATACCATTAGGTCAGAATCATTGAGGGAGATGAGCCAAAGACCACCTGTGTAACACGGTATGGCGCATTTGAATTTCTTGTTATGCCCTTTGGACTAACCAATGCTTCTGCCACATTTTGTACGTTGATGAATCAGGTGTTCCATGACTACCTTGACAAATTTGTAGTCATTTATTTAAACGATATAGTGGTGTACAACTCCACCTTGGAAGAACATCAAAAACACCTACGTCGGGTTTTTGAAAGGCTGCGGGACCACCAGTTATATGTAAAAAGGGAAAAATGCGCGTTTGCTCAGACCCAAATCCACTTCCTCGGTCACATTGTCGAACGTGGCCACATTCGAATGGACATGAAAAAGGTTAGGGCCATTAAATAGTGGACTACACCAAAGAATGTTAGTGAACTTTGCTCATTTCTGGGACTAGCCAACTATTATGAAGGTTTGTGGAAGGGTACTCTCACAAGACCACAGCCCTCACGGAGTTATTGAAGAAGGAGCACAAATGGTGTTGGACCAACGAGTGCCAAGAGGCCTTTGAGAGATTGAAAGATGCTATTATGAAAGATCCCATCTTAGCTCTCCCCGATATTGAAAAGCCTTTTGAAGTTCAGACGGATGCATCAGATTTTGCTATTGGAGGTGTGCTTTTACAACAACGTCACCCGATAGCATTTGAAAGTAGGAAGCTAAGCGAAGCGGAGAGGAAATATACGGCCCAAGAAAAAGAGCTCCTGGCGGTGGTTCATTGCTTGAGGGCTTGACGACATTACTTGTTGGGTTCACACTTCATCGTGAAGACGGACAACGCAACCGTTAGCCACTTTCTCACCCAACCAAGGCTTACAGCGAAACAAGCTCGGTGGTAGGAATTTTTAGCGGAGTTTGACTTTCACCTTGAGCATACCGCTGGAAAGACCAATCAAGTGGCGGATGCATTGAGCAGGCGATCAGAGTTGGCAGCCCTCAGAAGAATGGCCCCAATGGCAACCAGTAGAGCCACTACCGACATTCATAAGTTGATTAGAGATCATCTAGGGAAGGACCCGCAAGCCTGTGCCATCTTGAAGCTAGTGGAAGAAGGGAAATCCAAATACTTCTGGCAAGAAAATGGTGTCTTGTGGACCAAGGGGCCTCAAGTGTTTGTGCCGAGAGCAGGAGGGCTGAGACAGATGCTGATGAGGGAATGCCATGACACCTTATGGGCGGGACACCCAGGCTGGCAACGCACTTTAGCGTTACTGAAACAAGGATACTATTGGCCCCATATGCGACAAGATGTGACGAACTACACGAAGACTTGCCTCATTTGCCAACAGGACAAAGTCGAAAAGAGGAAACCTGCAGGCATGCTGGAACCATTACCGGTACCCACCAAACCATGGGAAAGCATCTCCCTCGATTTCATTTCAAGCCTACCCAAGGTTGGGGATCTTGAGACTATCTTGGTGGTAATTGATCGGTTTTCCAAGTATGCCACAT